GGAGGTGGAAGAAGGGGCCGACAGGTGGGCCCCACATGTCGGTGACCCTGAGGAGGGGGAAAGTGGGCCGGCCCAACAAGGGGGAAATGGCGTGGGAGGAAATAGGCCGACGGCCCAAGAAAGGAAAAAAAAAGGGGAAAATAAAAAGGAAAAAAGAAGAAAGGATTTTCCCAGGGATTAAATATTGCACTTTGATGAATTTTAATTGATTAAAATTATTTTCAAGGCCCTGAAAAATCCCCTAAAAACCCTGTTAGCATATTTTGACATGCAGAAGCCATGAAAAATTCCACATGCCGATTTTGATTATTATTTGCATTTATTAATTAGGGATTTAGCTCTAGGTTAATTCAACAATTTCTTCAGGCGATTTAGTTAACAATTTTTTTAAAGCTGGAAAAGGGGGAAAACTTCAGGGCGTGACACACCTCCCAGTCGCCACTCTATGTCTGACTCTCTCTCTCTCATTTTCTCAACGGCGTTAGCGGCGCCGTCACCATCTCGTCCCACCCTGTCCAGGCATTGCTGCCTCGCCATCGCTCCTAGTCTTCGCCGCCCCCAGCCGACACTGCCTCGTCGTTGTCCCAAGCCAAAGTCACCCCCAACCAACGCTGCCTCCTCGTCGCCACCCCAAGCCGGTGCTGCCTCCTCACTAGCTGACGCCTAGCTAGAGCTCACACGTCCTCGCCGCACGCATCCTTCGACATTCATCGCCGTGCTGAGCCACTTCAACAAAGGTTTTGTGGGACCCTACTCACCCACCGGGTCCCCAGCGGAGTTGGAGGCAGATTAGGTTTTTCACCCTGTTGCCAATGCGGGGACGGGAGTAGGAGTCAAAAGCGGGAACAAGGGCGGGGCAATTCATGTCCAACCCGGTCTCGTCCAGTCCTTTTGCCATCCCTAGGCAGGGCAAACACCTCTTGTCGTTCAAAGTAGGTCTAAGCAAGAAAATTAAGAAAGTTGAGGGGTCTGTTCATTTTATTGTCACTTTCAACTCTATTAAAATTTGACAAGGTAATAACAACTAAATATGATCTTACGAATACTAATAAATTCTATAGTTTAAAAAATTCGTCTCATGAAAACATTACCAAAATGTAGAAATGCATCAAAATAAACACATCAAAAGTTACCAAATTTTGGTAACACTAAAACATGTCAAAAAGACTAAATTTTGGAAAGGTTAATTTTGACCGTAAAGAACAGCCCGAGGCCTATATAGAGAGGCCGGTTGGCTCTGAGTTTGGCCGTCGTTGTCACCATGGGTATCCTTGCATGTACATTTGGACAGGATATGCACAGTAGCATTGGGCCCTGTGGATGACCGTAATAGTACTCTGGAACTAAAGCAAGCAAAGGCAAATCCTCTATCTCAAAAGAATAAGAAAAATCAAGGGAGGGGAAAACAAGGAAGCCAACTCGGCAAGTCAAAGGTACTCCTACAAGAAAAGCTTTTCAGAGAGAAAGATTAGATCAAAGGACAATTAACATCATGGAAGATTTTGTTTTGTAAATCATGTAGATTTCTCTTGCATTCCCACTTCTGATCATCATACAAGGCAAAATTGGTCCTGGGTAGAGGACAACCCCCAATTCTTCAGCCCCAACTAACTAATTTACCTCTCATACTAACTAATACTACTTCCATCTGCATCCTATATTGATATGGTCTACACTAGCTCATCAGTATGTACAAATTTAAGAGAGACAGATCCAAACAGATCTACCCAAACAAGGGACAAACATTCGCCCCCACCGATCCATGGTGAATTGGTGAGAGAAAAACTGCGAAAGATATTCCACCGAGAAGAAATTAAGGCGTGTGCACGCCATCCTCAGCTCGATCATCAGCAGCGGAGGAGCATGACGACGCATCGGCGGATGATGTAGAGCCTCGCCTTGTGCTCCTTGAGTGCCCTCGCGATCCCTCTCCTCTGCCCGCCGCTGCCGCTGCCGCTGCCAATAAGCTTCATCCTTGCTGCCGCTAGTGTAGTGTGCAGTGGTGATTCGTGAATTGTGAGAGGTCGTTGCTATGTGGATGGATGGATGGATGGATGGATGATTGGGTGAGGAGGCGAGGGTGCAGCTGCATGCTTATATAGGCGAGGAATGGAAGAAGAAGACGTCTCAGAGGCAGGGCCAACCCCAATTAACCGATGGGCGATGGCGATGGGGCTCCTGCCTCGCGCGCGTACGTCGCGTGTTGGAATGGACTTTCCACCGCGGCTGCGCCGCACGCACGCACGCACGCACGAACGGCTGCTGCTGTGCGTAGCCAGATCGCACGTTGCACCGCACGCAGTGACAGTGCATCGGCGTGGCGGGGCGAGAGCCCACGACTGGGTGTAGTTTTACCAGGGGACAGTGGCCTCGGTCACCAGCCAATCCTCGCTTTCCTCGCTCATCATGTGAACTGCACTCTCCTCTCTTCTCCTTACTACCACAGTATTGTTTAACCTAACCGAGGCCTTGTATCATTCGTGCAAACAATACAATACTGCATTATTGGGTTCGTGTCCTGGAGGAGGGGTCGTCAGAGAAAACAGTAGTACTACTCCATGGCCGTAGCGACGTCGCAGGGCCACGGGTGGTGGGACGACGGGGGGGACCACACCGGCGTCGAGATCTGGACGCGCGCGCGCACAGCTCAGGTCACGGCGAGGCTGAGCTAGATCCACCTGTGGGTACGGTGATTCTCTCTTCTTCACTCCAACTCCAATTCCTGCCCGGTTTTGGCCGCGCCTCCAATGGGGGTTTTTACATGGATCGATGCGTCGTACTGTTTTGGTGTACGAACACCAGCTGTCGGCCCTTTTGCTTTGCGAAGAAGAGTCATCGTCTAATTCTGGTTTCTGATTGGAAAGTTTGGATCACATCTCAGCATATCACCAGTGCACGAGTGAGTCATCGTTGTCTCGGCTCTGTCTCCTGCTTGGTGCTTGCTGATTCGGCCTCCTAATTTTGGGGGGACTTTCTGCTGACGCCTTCTTTTTTTTGTGCAAATGTGGATATCGACTTGGCAATGAGCGTGGTGTGAGCCTACATGGATCCACGAAAATATTTTTGCTTTTTATGCATACTTCAGGGACAGAGTGATGTTTTTTTTTTGTACTGTTTCCATCAGTGATCAGTGCAGAAGATACCGTGCTGCCTATTCGACTATCTCTGAATGAGATCGGTCCTTTTATCCCGCACATTGTGCCGCTTTGCCAGCATTGCTATGCGAATTCAACTCGTCCTATTCGTTCTTTTTAGGGTTATGCCACTGAAAATCAGGGAAGAGCTGAACGCTCTAGTGTCACGGCATGTCGAAACGATCGCACCGATAAGCTGAACGCTCTGGTGAATGAAGCTTCTTTTCACCAATGGATGTGCGATAGCAGAATGGTGCTAAGTGAGTCACATCGTCGAGGCTTCGACACGGTGGTGACGTTGATAGCATGGACAATATGGAAGGAACGGAACGGTCAGATCTTCAATCAGCAGTATAGATCTTGGATGGATGTGGCTAGAGGGATGGTGGACGAAGCCTCTCTTTGGCGTAAAGCAAACCCGACAATCCCTGCGCTACAATTCAGGAGGGAGTTTGGTCGCCAAAATCAGTGCGAGAGATAGACCTAGGATTGTCTGTTATTATCCTGTATCAGTCCCGTGCTGTTTTTTTCTTTAAAATGTAAATAACTTTTATTTCTCTTAATGGAAAAAATGCGCTCCTTACGTATTCCCGAAAAAAGTTTTCGGAAAAGCGAAGAAGAAGCGTGAGCTTGGATCACGGCTAGAAACGTCATATCCAGACTCGCAATTAGTAGCAAGGACAACAAATGTCAAATGTGTTTTTTAGCCGCTAACATAATCAAATGGCAGTCCTCCTGCGCTTTCTTAAAAAATAAGGCATCTTTGGACAACTTGAATGACAAAAGACAACGATACGAAAAATGAAGAATTTTGATAGAAATGCAGCTGTAAGGCAAAAGATTGTAGAATACAATATAGAAATGGTAATTTGGATGGAGCGCAAGAGCAACATGAGAGTTTAAGGATAGATAAAAATTGAAAGAAAGTTTCTATGAGGTTAGATCTCAAGTTAAATATCCTTCAAATTTTCCGTGGGTTGAAGTATTCCTTAGGAATTTCATAAAATTCATTTGTATCCAATACTTTGTTTCAAAAGACCATGTAAAAATTCATAAAATCCATTCATATCCAATCCTTTATTAAGGACCATATGTAAATTCATTCATATCCAATCTTTTCAAAGGACCATATAAGAAAAGTATAATAGGATTTCTTTTCTCAAATACGTAATAGAGTTGCATATCATTTCATTAAGAAAGGAGGAAAACACGGGGAGAAAGCCCTCCCTCACCCTCACCGTACGGAAAACAACAAAAATAACCTCACCCAATCGGGGTTAACGACCTATTAAGGAATAAAAATAACCTCACCCAATCGGGGTTAACGACCTATTAAGGAATTCCTATAGAATTTAAATCTCATAAAATTCCCTAAAAAATCCTTTTGTTCCAAGGGGCTAAAAAGGAGTACGCCACGGAACGGTCAGAGGTCAAGCTCAGTACTACTTGTAGTGTAAGAGTCCATTACCTTAAGTTGATAGCAACTGTCGCATAGACAGCTAGACAAAAAATTGAGGGCACAATTAAAGGGGGTCAAAGCTGAAAATTGAGTACATGCTAAGCATCCATCAGGCAGGAAAAAGATAATTTTGAGATGAAGGGGTCCTTTTTCAGGATTTCAGGTATTGTTCTAAGGCACTTTACCTTAATAGATTAATGAGTGAACTTCATCAATACAGCTGATTTTTTTGGCAAACATGGTTAATTAACGAAGTACAAAACACCACATTTGCGGCAGCAAATGCAACGTAGGGTTCCATTTTTTCAGGCACCGGTCATCTAACCAATTTAGCATCTGAATATATCTGTGCTGTATGACTGATAAGGTGTGTTGAACAGAGAACTAGTTCAGGCAAGAAACTGTTGTGTGAGATTGACAAAGCCTTTCGGAGAAGAATCGTGCACACCAAATTAATTGCAACAGGAGAGCAAAGTGACGAATTTTTTTTTGAAATTGTCGATCATTTCATACCACAGCTGCTACAAGGATCTGTATCTATACAATGTCCCCTACCATTCTGGTAACGGAAGAAAAAAAAACAACAGAAGAACTAGAGAAGAGGAAAATCTGAGCTAGCAAAAAAAATGCTTCTTGTCAGTCATGCCATCGGAGCAGCATAACAACGCATCGCGAAATGATGTAGAGCCTTGATCTTTGCTCCTTCAGGGACTTGCTGAATCCTCCTCTCCTTCTTTGGCTCCCAAGCTTCATCCTGAGAATTTGTCTGAAATGCTCACTCTTGAACTCTGAACTTTCTTCACGTAATAAGGTGGGAAAAAGCTTGTAAAGCTCAAAAAAGAACACTTGCTGTTGGTGTGCTTGGCTCAGCAGACTGCAAGGGGGTTTATATAGGCAGGATCAGCAGGTAGATGGAGATGATCAGCAACAGGCCTCAAAAAGAATATGTATACACACATAGAGCCACTTGCATCATGGCATAACTGGCAAGCCACACCTCCATGTACTTTCACCATCAGACATGGGAGTGAAAAACTAGTAGCAAACTGTCCATCTGATCATGTGATCCTGCCTGCTCTCACCATACAATAATCAAAAATCCCCAAGGCTCTCCAGTCCAGCCTTCGGCCACATTAGTTTACTGCAAAGGGTCAAGCTTGATCTCTGCGAAAAACTAATTGCGGCTTGCCGGACAGCCCGGAATGGCCCTCCCGTGCGCCTGACCGCCGCGATCTCGAGCGGTCGTCGATGGCTTAATTTCAGGTTGCATGTGTTGAGATCTGATTACAGCTAAAATGTTTTTTTTTTTTTGCCTGTGTTTCCTCGAGGCCTTGGTTTGGTGCCTGATCAAGAACATGAACAGCTGTGTATCTCTGTCCCCAGGGTTGGTATAGATAATAGTATATAGAAATGGATTAGCACTAGCACACAGTTTGGCAGATCAAGCAGACAAACTTGCCTAGCTTCGCACTTTGCTTGCCATGAAGTTCTTTGATTTCTGAGTGGCAGGGCTGAACAAGTTGATAGATTATGTCATGTTTTGCTTCCATAGGATTGGTGTGGCCGACATTCCAACATTTTTATAGTGCCTTCTTCCCTATGGAAGTTCACAAATTAATTGGTATTCGGAAAATAAAATATATTTTCTGGACATGTTTTCAGTGCAAGCTTTGCTATTGTCGCCTCCATTGTTTTTGCTAGTTAAATGCCTACAATCTCAGAAAAGGAAAATGTAAGTGTGTACTTTTTTAGCCTCTATTATATTGCTTCAAAGAATGCCCGAAAAAGTGATGATCAGTAAATCAAACAAATACTAGTTCTCAAGCAGGCTGTTGTAACAGTAGTTTTAAAGACGCTCACAAAGTCAAGATTTCTACATTTATTTTTCCTCACTGGACAAATTCCAATTAGCAGTATTTTATTCGGGGAGGCAGCTCGGGAACATATCCTCTTCAAGTTTTCCTTCTGGTTTAATAAAATCAATTTGATTCCAGTATCAAGCCAACACAAATAGTTGTCTGCATAAAAACAAAGATATCCAATAGAATGATCATTCATTATTTAAAATTTAAATTCATAATTCCATAAACAAAACAACTGATTCAAAACAAAATGTATGTTCGAAGGTCTGGAAATAATGAAAGGTCAAAAAAGCTGAGTGTACACTATTAGATATTGCAGCAACCAGTGAGATCGATGAGCCTAATTAAGCTTCAATTGGATTGAGTTTGCTTGAGATGAAATGAAATGGATTCAACATTGACAAGTCAAAAGGCAACTGCCACTGCCACTTTCATTATCACCAGCACAGTAAGGTGGGGGGACTCAGCAGGGTGACAGTAGACCAACAGGACATCGATTCATCATCCAATATTGGCATTACATCACATCCATTTACAATTTCACAAAATAAAGGCTTGAAGATGGTGGAGACAATCATCAAAAAGCATTTCTTGGTGATTCTCCGCAGATCCCCTGTTTATTTCTTCAGAGGTAGGAGTGGCTGATGAAATGCCTATGAGACCTTCAGAATGGAAGAGCTGTACACTATCTGCATTTTACAGCATGACAGTCGAATTGGAGTTCTGATGTGGTTCCAATAATAGCAGAATCTGTGAAAGGGGATCCTCTTGACCCCGATTCCGCCCCTGCAAAAGAATCAATCGATTTTTGGGACGAACATCCGGAGCAACCAAGAAACCAAAAGGAGCAAGTTTTCAGGCGATGGAATCATATGTTCTCACTTGGTTCATCGTATTTGCATTCGACAGTAGTGACATGGTGATTGTACAATGCACACACTCGCGAACACTAGAACTAAAATCCTACTTCTGCTACTGCTACTGCTACTTGTACCATTTTTTTTTGTTGGCCTCTATGTACAAACGGCCGACACCATTCTGGCACAGCACACAACCAAAAAAGAACCAAAACTTTCCGCGAAGGAGCGACCCAACCAACGAGGCAACGAACCGACCGACCGAGGAGGATCGAGGGATGGATTTGGAGGATCGAGTTGGTGGGGATCAGTCTTGCCAGCGGAGGAGCATGACGACGCAGCGCTGGATGATGTAGAGCCTCGCCCTCTGCTGCTTGATGGCCCTCCCGAAGCCTCCTCCCCTCTGCCTCCTCTCGCTCCCCACAAGCTTCATCCTCGTTTCTCCTCCTTACTGATTTTACTCTGTGTGTTGTGTGTGTGTGTGTGTTTGTTGTGCTGATGGGCAATGGTGAGCTGAGTCTGGTTGCCTCCGATGGTGGAATGGGATACGATATATAGGGGAAGCGGGTGGTGGACTGGTGGCAGGCGGGGCAGGGCGCGCAGTGAGACGGTGGATTCCGCCTGCCTCAGGGGACCGCACCGCACAGGCGCACAGCACTGCAGACGCAGCCGGTGGTGCGGACTGGTGGTTCGCGGGTCGCAGAGAGCCGTGCACGCGTGCGTGCGTGCGGCCGCGGGGCGGGGGGGCCGCGGCTCTCTGCGCCATGGAAAATGTGTCGGGGACTCGGGGGGGCCAAGGCCAAGGCGAAGGCGTGCGCGGTGCGGCGGTGGTGGTGGGGGTGGACCGCGGGGTGGTGGTGGTGGTGAAGGGTCGCTGCCGCGGCCTCTCGTGCGGTCTGCCGCGGCCTGCATGCACGGTCGCGTCCGGCCCCGGCGGTGCAGGGGCCAGGCTAGGGCCACTTGTATTTGTACCGCCGCGGGTGCTGTTGGTTGGCGTTTGATGATGATGATTGGGTGACTTGGACAGGATAGGGATGGACTCTCTCCTCCATCGGTCCATGCATGGGTGCGAAATGCGCGGGTTACAGGCCAGTTTATTAGCTGCTGCTATTTATGATGAGCGCGGAAGGAAAAATTGAATCTCCCTGTTCATATCACGCCACGTGTGCAATGGCGGAACTTCTAGGAGTATCATGTTTGTCCATCCAGACTCCACGCTGTAGTCCCACACAGTGGTCCGCCATCTTTTTTTCCCCCGAACCATGATAGTGGTACTGTCCTAAGCAATTTTTCAACCCTAATACATGCTCAATCTTCCCATGCATGATGATAAGGTTTGGAAGGGGGTGTAGGGCAGTGGTGACCATTCACTACACCATATCCTCACATCTCTAACGGGATACATGTGACGAGCAAACGAAATAGTCACTGATGACCGTCACCTCTGACGGGTCATACGGGATACCGTCATCAGTGAGGCATCCGGCTGCGACCCGTCACAGGTAACTAGTCACCTGTGATGGGTTGAAAATAGAACCCGTCACAGGTGAGGTTACCTCACCTCAAACGGGTTTAAGTCCTAACCCGTCATAGGTGACTAATTACCTGTGACGGGTCGCAGCCGGACAGCCCGTCAGAGGTGAGGTTTACTCACCTCAAACGGCTTTAAGTCCCGGCCCGTTTGAGATGACTTCTGCCACTGTATATATATGTCTCCTCTCTCCAGCGGGGCCCACATGAGGAGATAAGGCCGGCCGGCTCCCTCTTCTCCACTTCTCCTCTATCTCTTCCACTTCTTCTCTATCTCTCCTCTCTTTCTCTGTGCCGTGGCGAGGGGAGGCGCGGCGGCGCCGGGCCGGCTGGGGCGGCGGCGGCCCAGCCGCCAAATCCGGCAGTGGCGGGAGGGGAGGCGTGGGGGCGGCGGCGGTGGCCCGGCCGCCAGATCCGGCAGGGGCGAGAGGGGAGGCGCAGCGGCGGTCCGGCCGCCAGATCCGGCAGAGGCGAGGGGAGGCGCGGTGGCGGATGACGGATCTGGAGCCGTGGCGCGGTGGCGGCCGACGGCGGGAGGGGAGGCGGCCGAGGCCCGACGGCGGTGGCGGTCTCCACCTCCGCCACCTCTGCCAGCGACGCCTCCAGCCGTGCCTCTGCCTCCGCCTGCGCTAGCCGGCCGCCACCTACACCTCCAGCTCCGCCGGCGCCTCCCCCCGCCTCCTAGCCACCAACGCCACCGACGCCTCCCCTCCCGTCGTCGGCCGCCCCCGCGCCACCGCGCCTCCCTCCCGCCCCTGCCGGATGCGGGAGATCTCCGGCGGATCTTCTTCGTCCATGAGGATCGGTGGTGGTCGCCGGTGGTCGCCTTGAGGTGGTGGGTGCCAAATCTGGTCTCCAGGTGGTTCGGGACCACCGGATCTGGAACCCCCGGGCTCCGACTGCTGCCTCCTTCACCGTCCGAGCTCCTTCGCCGGTCGCCGCCTCCTTCACCTTCTTGACGCCAGATCCGCCGCCTCCATCCATGTACGAGCTCAGATCCATTGCCAGCAAGTCCTCTTTCACCCATGTATTGTGTCTTGTGCTGTTTATATTGTTCCAATTGTTGCTACTGTGATTGTTGATTCTGAGTCCTATGGTGATTGAGATTCTTGTGATTTTGTTTTGTGATTGGGACAACTGCGATGGAACAAAGAAGAATTGCAACGATTTTTTTGATTTGTGAATGCCAAATGCAATCGGACGAAATGAATGTGATGGTAACCTAGGAGGACGGTGTTTCTCTTCTTTTTTCCCCCCTTTTTTTTCACACCAGTGACGGTCCCAATTAGTTGGGCCGTTTGAGGTGACTCTCACCTGTGACGGGTTTTGGTTAGGACCAGTCAGAGGTGACTCTCACCTGTGACGGGTTTTAGTTGGGGGCCGTTTGAGGTGGCTCTTACTTCTGACGGGTCTTCACCCGTCACAGGTGACTCAAGTCATCAATGACCACTAATCTCTGACCGGGAGCTGAACCCGTCAAAGTTGAGGGTTTGAGCCCGTCAGTGCTGACCTGATCTAGTGTAGTGATTAAAAACTTATTCGGTTAATCTCTCGTCTAGCCCCCATGGGCGATACAGATCGAGACGACTCATTGAGCACCGCTGCCTACCTCTGCTCTTCTCATCCGACCCATCGGCAAGCCACACGACTGCAAGGACGGTGGCAGTGGGGTTCTTTTTTCTCCAAGGACGTTGCACTAAATGAGGTGTCAAGGTGATCAGGAAGGGAGAAGAGGTGTCTCCTAGATCTAGGCCATTCCTGACCGAATCTAGCGAATAGTGGAGTGAAGGAGAGACGGGTGGAGGACAGCCTGGCTAACGCAAGACGAAGGCAGTAGTGGTGGATGGAGCAGCAGAGTCAAGGATGAATGATCTGGTGGTCCCAATGTAGGAACTGGCGCCCTACCTCTGCTCCTCTCATTCGACCCATCAGCAAGCCATGCGACTGCAAGGATGGTGGTAGTGGGGTTCTTTCTTCTCCAAGGACGCTACACTAAATGAGGCGTTGAGGTGATCAGGAAGGGAGAAGAGGTGTCTCCTATATCTAGGCCATTCCTAGCCGAATCTAGTAAATAGTGGAGTGGAGGAGAGACGGGCGGAGGCAGCAGTGGTGGATGGAGCATCAGAGTCAAGGATGAATGATCTGGTGGTCCCAATGTAGAAACTGGCACCCTCCAAACCCATATTTGGCTCTCAACGCAGTGACCTCCGGGAGACAACATGCATGGAGGAGCGGCAACAATGGCTTGGCATGGTGGTCTTCGACGACGGTGGGCGTGGAGGAGCAGCCGTGATGATGGCTACTCTCTTCACACGCTAGGTCACCCAGATCCGGTGTCTTCCGATGAGGCTGTTCTCGGCGACGATTGGCGAGAGAGGTGGGGGAGGGGTGAGGAGCGGTTGCAGAGCCTACTAAATGTGGCGACGAGGTGGCCGTCGCCCCCCTTTCCTCTCATGCTAATGGTGGCGACGACAGTAGTGTTGTGGCTTGTGTTATTGGGAGGGAGTTGCTGCCATGCTCACCGGTGTGGTCTTGACGGTGGCAACTCTCCTCCATGGCAATGGGCTTCGGTGCAGGCGATAGAAAAAATTGCCATACTAGTGCATAGTGACGATGACATACAGGACCTCCAACATGGAGGACGGTCGGTGGTAGGACGCTGGCGAAGTGATCGTGCATTGAAATGGTTTTGAAGTGAAAAATAGACTGAGATGCCTTTTATCGATATCACGGTTTATTTTTCACTATATGTCTGTAAAAAAAATGGTCTGTCAAAAAAAAAGTAAGAACTTAAGGATTATATCCAAGTCACCAATATGTTGTTGAAACTTCATTGACAGCTAGCTAGCGACCTAATTACGGGGTAAGCAAGTTGGTGGTACGTACGTGTAGGTGATCACTTGACAAAGGCCGGCTCCTGTGAGGCTAGACAGGGAGATTAAAGACGGGCCACAGTGTGTCTTGGGATGCTAATGACCCCTGTCCGTTTTGTCTCTTTCTCATCCCGATAAACACTGTTTACTCCCTAATCATACATATATGTAATCAACAGGAAGAAGCTTTGCTATAGCGATCAATGGCGATCAACAGCTGATGTTAACAAACTAACCAACTTGGGGTTAAGTGTGTGTGTGTGTGTGTGTGTTGTATGTACACAGGTGCGTGCATGTGGTCGTGTCGGCTTCGTGTCTGCCGGTGGCCGCGTGTAGCGGTCGATCATGTTGGTCAGCTACCTAGCTAGTTTTATGCAAGTGAGCAGGACATTAATCTAGTCAAGGGGGAGTACAGTGGTGCAGGTGCATGTGACCATGACGTGGATCGAGATTCTCTCGGTGTCACGCGCAGTTAATTATAGCACTAAGTACACTAACTTTTGATAATTTAATCACGGCGTAATTAACTGTCATTACCAACGGGCCGTTAATTACACTGACAATTAATAGAGATACGTTCGCCTGGTTTATATTCAGCGCGAACGTCCACCGGTTAAGCTAGTGATCTTGTTCGAACGTCAGCAGGTTATTAACTAGCTATAACAAAAGATTAGTTCGATCGATCATTTGATAGGCAGCTATAGCTGTGTGTTGGTTCAGATGCAGTACGTACTAATCAAGATCCTGATTGCCATTTGTACGTGTTAGTGGACGACCTGTCGGAAACAGGACCCAAATTAATGTGTCGTCCCGACAAGGGGATCCCCATACAATCGTGTGGATTGATCGAGCTAGCTACTAGCTAGACATGCATTTCATGTCAAGATCAATATATCTGATCGACCAGAAGCCACCTAGCTTGCAGGATACACCGCACTTAGGCGTGGTGCAGTGTGGTGTGATGCAATGATGCAATTCGAGTGCTACGTAGCTTTCTGGTTTCTGCCACATCCTTGATAGGAAGGTAGGGGTGGAAGGATGTGTTTATTGACTTGTGGTACTGTACGTGTGGCAAGGCTGCAGCAACAATCATTTTAGGGTGGCCACGCTAGCTAGCTCCCAACGACAATCTACAAAAGATTGCAAAAAAAAAAAAGATGATGCATGGAAACATGAAATAAAATACTCCCTCCGTTTCAGGTTATAAGACGTTTTGACTTTGGTTAAAGTCAAATTGTTTTAAGTTTGACTTAGTTTATAGACAAACATAGTAATATTTATAATAGTAAATTAGTTTCATCAAATCAATAATTGAATATATTTTCATAATAAATTTGTCTTGTGTTAAAAATATTACTACTTTTTTCTATAAACTTAGTCACACTTAAAGCAGTTTGACTTTGACCAAAGTCAAAATGTCTTATAAACTAAAACAGAGAGAGTATATATTAAAAATAGACTATACAATTGGCAATAATTAATATTAATAACCACCAAGAAATATTACAGAGTGGTAAAAATAATAATATTTGTAGATCAAATAAATCACAGTCCTAGTTTCAATTAATATTCAATCTAGTGGTTTCAGTTAATTAATTAGCCCAAGTTTCAACTAAAAAACATTCACACTCTCAACTACTAGCTAGGGCTGCGATTTATTTTGTAGATCACACAGCCTTACCTTCAACATAACAAACATTGAATTTGAAATCTAGTGCTTTCATATCGAGTTTCTGATTTTTCTAATTAACAAATCTGGCTTTTCAATTTGAAATATATCTAGAGACCTAATATTAAAGGAATCACACTCTCAACTTGAATGACATCTAGATTTTTACTGAATCTATACACCCTATGTTTGATGGCATCATATCTTAGCCACTAGTGTCTCTAGAACTACATTGTGCGATGCGAAATAAGAAAGTAAGGAGAAGTGATGGTTGGAAATGGTAACCAGTACAGTAGGATGATATGCAGTAGATCATTATTAAGGGGAAGTGACATTTATGTTAGAGCCATATTTTGGTCCAATTAGATGCGGATATAGTCATCAATACGATACTTGAAAACCGTCTTTAGATGTTGACTAGAAAATGGGTGCGCCAACTATTTTATAGCTCATATTTGTTGGAGGAATAAAATAAATTTTGGAAGTTAATTTTAGAGTTGGGTTTCAGGTTTTTTCATCGGAGATTATTTTCTAGCATTTTTCTTTTAAACCGCTAATAAAATAGATATATTATCATATTTTTTTCTTAATTCATTATGGCGTACCAGTAATAAATAACTCAAATGATTAATAATATATCCCGATTAGTGAAAATCATTTTAGGGAAAAAGTTGAGGCTATATATTTCCATAAAATAGATAGGAGAAGAAGAGGATTGAGTAAAAAGAAAAAGCTATTTTGGAGTTTTATCAACAATTTGCTTGTGTAGGCCCAAGCGACCAGACTTAACATAAATGTAGCCATTGGAGCCATTATAAAAAGGGAGAAATTAGCACTACTTGGTGAAATAGGTTCTTTTAGAATCAATTTCAAACCATCTGCTAGAGGTTGTAACAATCCAAACGATCCCACTACATCAGGACCCTTTCGACGTTGCACAAAAGCCATTACTTTACGTTCAGCTAGCACTAAAAAGGCTACTCCTATTCACACGCGAGTAATAGAATATCATAAAATAAATGTATCTTAGATTACCGATTTATGTTCATCATTTGTCACTGAAAATGAACGAATAATGCATGACAACTGTTTTGATTTATGGAAATATCTTCAACGATCCTAGCAACTTCTTATTACTACTTCCACACATCTAGTTTCCTTTTATTGTTTTCATTTTTAGAAAAATTTATTGCTAAAATTTTTGTTAGACCTATAGTAGTGTATTTATCCAAAAACAAATTGAATGGTCTTAATGCAGTCCTTGCTACCACTTCTTTTTTTTTTCATTTAGACATAGGATATTATCATGATGAAGTTACTTTGTTCGATTTTGGTTTAACATATGTAGCTGATTTTTTATTATGATAAGCTAAAACTCATATTTTTCCTCTTCTCTCTCTTGCCATTTTATTTATTTAACTTTCTTCTACTTATTTTTCTTTATTATGGTGTAGGCCAAATTCTCTTTGGAAGTCTAGAATCTAGCTACAATATTTAAAGTTTGGGAGCATCTAGAATCAGATATAATGTTTAAAGTTTGTTTTTTTCTGGATTTTTTTTTACCATATGTTCTCCAAATTTTTCTTGAAATTTAGCCATATCAAGAGACCCAATCAACTGGCAGCGCCCCTACCAACGTTAGAAGGATATATAGGTTCCACGCTACTATATACTGAATACTCACAAATTAATGTGTGGCATACTCCATCATACAAATCTAATGTAATCATTGTGATATTAGTGGTTGGAAATATACTTCTTGCAAATCTAAAAGTGAACAATTCCATGTGCCAGTATATAGATCGATATCCTTTGCCAAAAATCTCATCATATATCAAACATTTATGAAAATAACAACTTAATTTAATGTCCTCTCCAAAGAAGTACCTGAATGAATAATGATGCAATACACCATGCCGATCTTTTTGCATCACCATTGAGGTTGCACCCTTCATTGCTTTAAACTTGCACTATTATGTATCCTGTCGCCTTTCTCATCAGAAGATAGCATTCCCTTGTCTTTATCATCGAATTTTCTCATGCAACCTTCGTAGCTATGTGTAAAGTTTATTGAAGACATTGAGATGATGCAAAGATGTGCTTTACTCCATGTACAATTGAAACAGATTTGTCGCTTTAGAGCACATCGGTTTATTAGCAAGATTTGAACATACACTTTATTCATTAAATCCTCTCTCCTTTGTTACCAATAAGTACTTCAGCTCAACCAAGAAACTAAGAAAATTTACGAATTACTTTTCACTTCACCACCACTATGTCTTCAATGGTTGTCTTGTATGGTTTCTCACCATATATAGTGACGGTCAATCCCCGTTGGTTATTTACTGTTTCCACACGCTGAAACCTCAAAGGTATCACTTTGATTTATTATGTTACTAATGTTATGTCGACCATCTCACAAATCAGATCAATATGGCCTTGGCTCTGATATCATTTGTTATATTATGATATCTCAATAACCTCTTAGGTTGATCCAATATCTTGAGATATGACAAAAATGAACAAGATCTAGACATATAGATACATAGGAGTAGATGGCTTCTTTAGATAACCAAAATAATAATGATGACCACAACAAGAGATAACATTTGACCAAGGCATTCGAAATTTCCTCTAACCACAATTGACACTTATCCATAGTCACAATCCCTTGAACCTTTTGGACATTTGGTTTCTACCATGTACAAGTGCTAACTAGTGGCAGAGTCAGTGGCATTGTCGAGCCCAGGTGACGAACAGTGTTTGTTAGTGATCTACAATTTTTACATGTGTTGCTAACAACAGAATAGTGTGAACGTAGCGGTGGATCGGAGCTAGGGCTACTGCTCGACCAACTCGCGAACTAGCTCCATCACCAGTGCTAAAGAATTCTTTCGTGTGCTCTAGCTAGTTGCCTCTACAAGGTTGCTTTGGCTTGGGTTGGCTTGCTACAGTCTCCACATATGTGACAAATATAATGAAAAAAGGATGGCTCACCCTATATAGATGAGTAGTTTTAGCCGGTAAGGTTGGGGGGGGGGGGGGATCTATAATGTATAGCGTCCCTCTTGGGTATCCTTGTGTTGGTCTTCCTCTAAGTAGAACTAAAAAAAATCCTAATCGTAACTAGTTATTATTTTAACTTTTAACTCTATGACAGGGGCTAACATAATATTATAGTATTTTAAAGCTCACCTTTTAGAAACCATGACTAATTGAATTGATGGATATATTTTCACTATTAATTTTGCCTGGCAATATTGGCTTGTCATCATCAATCATTTATTCAGAACTTTTTGAAGACGTGATTACACTACATATATAAATTGAGTTGTGGGACATAATGCTGACTGTGTATAGTACGTTGATCGTGGTATTTATTAATTGTTAATAAAAATAAAAGGGAATTGTCCAGTATTATATTTATAGTACTGTTGATATCGTTGAATATGCCAGCTGTCATGCATATTACCTTATTTGGGTTCATCAGAATTATATCAAACTGAACCAATATAAAAAGGAAAATTGGCACAAAAAGAAATATATATTATCTTATCTATGATGAGGTACCTGAAGTTGTGAACCTAAGTTGAGGCCAGTTCAGCTCAATCATGAGACATATATAGATGTCTTTCTTTTTAGATCCAATCATCATTTGGGACTTGAACTAACCAAATTCCTTAATCAAAGGAACAAAATTAGAAAAAAGTTCGCTTTTCAGATGATTATCGCATAATGTAACAAGCTAAACAGAGAGTAGCTCAATGATAGTGAGGAAAGGGCATAAAGATCAAAGGAAAGCATGCCAATTATTATATATATACAAGCTCAAGTAGCTGCAGAAAACAGCTGCTGCATGCATAAGATCAAGTAATATAAAGCATAAGAAAATTCAATTTTGGTATATATAGAAAAGGAAGAAATGCATAACCTGCTCTTCCAGTGATATAGATGGCCCCCCTAGCTTGGCCCTTTTGGCTTGGCTCCATGCATGCTCCAAACTAGGTTTTTGCTCCCTTCACCTACATATTTAACCTCCTCATCTCCGGGGCTTTCTTCCATCACCACCACAAACTGATCTCCCGATCACCTCGTAAAGACCAGAAGAATATTTTTGCCAACTTGCAATTGAATCCACAGCGAGATGTGTAGCTCCATGGGGAAACATGTGCTTGCGGATGCGTGCCTGTGCTCCCCTTTCATGTTCCTCTCGTGCTGCTCATCATGGAAGCATAGGGCATATTGCATATGCGTATATTCAGCTCAGGAATCCTCTTGAATTGATGAATCTTTGGGTAATATACATTTACATGTTGTAAGCTAGCTGTAACTCTGAACTGAAGCAAGAGTGTGTGATCGATCGACCACTTGTGGATGCTAGTAAATGTCTGCAAATTGCAGGAGAATGCAGGCATGCCGGGTGTGCGAGCAACATGTAGTGATGCTTTTCTGAATTTCTGGTGAGATCGGCTGGGTGGCCGACAGGACATCTTGCGAGTCCGGCGCTTACATAAAGGAAGTACAGATTATACAGAGGAGGGTGGCAAGATTAGCAGACAGGCGATCTTGGAGTAGCGGCAACATCAGTATTTATCTGCTTAATAACAGCGGTTGAAATGGCATTCCATGTGTTTGACTCGTCTGTTGTTTGTCTGTCGACAAGGTTACAAAAGTGACTTGGTGAATTCAGATGGTTTACTTCCAGTTGCCAAAAAGATTAGAGAAGTGGCATACACCAGAGTACTTTATGAGAAATATAGACAGACTATAACAACAACATTGTTAATGCTACTATCCTCAGTTCTATCCTGGCTTGCTTGGCTGCTCTGTTGTAGCTATCTCTCTAGTCTTACATTTAGGAAAAATAAAAAAAAAAATCAATAAGTCGTATGCTTAAAAGAACAAAGTATATATAGTATAATCCATAACATTGGCTCTTTTGGTAAGACGATTTTCTGGTAATTAAGCATTTAAGCATCATTTGTTGGTGACTCAAGGATGAGCTGTTATATAAAGAACAACCAAATAAATATTGGCACTATACCTGGCTATGGTACTAGACTATCAATACAATATAGGCCACATGAGGCATGCAACTGGTCACTCACAAGCCTATGTAGTTAACTCATCATGTGTACAGAGTACAGACATGTAGCTGTTCTTGTACCAGCAGACAGTGAATGATTTAAAAACAGTAAACAAATGGTTGCTTATTTCGTGGTGTCCCTCAGATCACGTACTATTACAGATATACTATGTATTTTGGTCTTTGTTGCAGTGCACAATTGATAACAACCACTTGCAGTCCAATTAATTAATAAATATGAAGCTGACTTGGAAGTGAACTAAACCTCAAAGGCTCATATATGGCCTCCCAAAGATTGGAGTAGCCAAATGACCCTTAATTAGACTCCACGAGACAAGTCTAATGCACAATTTGTTGGGAGCACCGCCTTGTGGAATTCATGATATATAAACTACAGGAAATCCTACAAAACCTATATGAAATTTTGAAACGAGTGTATAATGGGGATATAAAAAATGACTGCATTGTATTATCCCAAACTATTTTCAGATAAAATTTCATTTTTTTTGGTTTTTTTATCAACGGAAAACCTTTTGTGGTTTTGTTTTCGTGAAGCTTAAAGAGCGTATAGGGGAAAAAAGGCATTTAATTCGAATAAAACAAAATCTATCTAAAATGATACTATCAGTGCAACGATTGATTTTTTTCTCTGTGTCTAGAATTATAAGACTTTATTTGGTATACTTTTTCTTAGCTCAAAATCATTTCCTGGAAATGTCTAAATTCTAGAATTATATAAAATAGAAGATATCTATGGGCCAAAATCTGGTCCATTCCAGTCCATGTTAGTTTGGAGTCCATATTTGTCTTCCCTCAATCTGACATAGCCAACTCCCAAGTGGGCCTCTCTTCCCCAAGCACAGAAGGATTAAGTTCAGTTGGGGTCCCCCAATTTGTCGCCGGGTTTGAAATTCATCCCTAACTGAAATACAAGATACAAAGCGTCCCTTAGTTGTTTCAGCCGACGTGATGCCACGTGGATGGTTTGATTTGGTCCTCGTCCCACATGACATTTGACGTGCCATTAGAATCGAGATAAAAAAAGTAAAAATTTTAAAAAATATATTATACCCAATTGTATATGGTACTTTGGTTTAGGGACAAATTTCAAACTCGACGATAAATTGGGGGAGCTCAAGTGAACTTATTCCAGCACAGAAAGCTATATGAGGCCCAGCTACTGCCGCTAGGTGGTCCATACTATGCCGAGTTGTGTCCCTTGAACCATGCCATTTTTTTTTTCAGAAAATATTATTTATCTATGCCTTTAAGAACCTCTATGTACAAGTCGTGCTAGCAGGACTACATAATGTGTTAGGATATAGTTGAGAAAATATCATTACATAAGTTAAAAAATATCTAAATATTAATTTGTTAATTCAAACACCCAAACATTTCTTGCCGATGAAACACATATTGTTAGACCGGCAAATTAAGATGTATATAAAGAAAGGAAATATTATTTTTATGCATGGGTACAAGAAAAAATATTTGGGAAATATTGCCTCAATTTATGCTTGAAAATTATATGATACCTACCTAGATAATATTAAAACAAAGACCTATTAGATCAGGAAAATATAGTGTGGTTGGCTGAGAATGAATGACCCACCAGACAAGGCAAGCTGATATTATTTAGCTTCAGTTGCATAAATTAATTCATCTATTAGTACGAGCTGTCTACATGGATAGGTTAATTAATTAGGATTAATTTTAGGTATACTTGAGTAATGTCCTGCCGCACACATGATAAGACAATTATTGTACATTTATAACGTTTATAGTCAAGCACTGTTTTTGGCCATCCAACATATAGTGATACCGAAGTACTACGTACGAGATGCTAATACATAGATGCTTTAGGCCGAGCTTAGTTCCAAACTTTTTTTCAAACTTTCAATTTTTTCATCACATCGAAACTTTTCTACACACACCAACTTTTAATTTTTTCGTCACATCGTTTTAATTTCAACCAAACTTCTAATTTTAGCGTGAACTAAACACACCCTTAATTTGTATGTTCACCTGGAGAAACATCGGAGATTTTTAATTTGTATGTTCGCATGGTAATACCTATTTGTATGTTCACCTGGAGAAACATCAGAGATTTTTAATTTGTATGTTCGCATGGTAATACCTAGATGCTTTAATTTGTTTGTTCACCGTTTTAATTTGTATGTTCATGCAGAAGCTCACTCTTTTTTGAACGTAAGAGATTTCACTAAACAATTAGGGTGTGTTCGGCACCCCTCTCCCAGCCCCTCTCCCTCGTTTTCCGCGTGCACACTTTTCAAACTACTAAACGGTGTGTGTTTTACGAAAAGTTTCTATATGAAAGTTGTTTTAAAAAATTATATTAATCCATTTTTAAATTAATTTTAGCTAATACTTAATTAATCATACGTTAATCTATTGCTCTGTTTTGCATGCGGAGGGGAGGGGTTCCAAACCCCTCCAAAAGAACACAACCAAGCCTGTGTTCGGGAGGTCCTGGCACACAAAACGAAATACGTATTATTGCATGATTAATTAAGTATTAACTTTTTTTAAAAAATAGATTAATATGATTTTTTAAACAATTTTCATATAAAATTTATTTTACAAAAAAACATACCGTTTAGCAGTTTGAAAAGCATGCATGTGAAAAAGAGAGAGGTGAGTTGGAAAAACTGGAGGAAGAACATAGCCTAAAAGCAGCCAGCTTTTTTTTTTGTATAAAGGGAAAAATAAAGAGCTCTTTCCTATAAATGTAGGAAATTGTCTACCCAGATGTGTTAAGATGATCAAGTGATTAGGGTAGTTTTAAAGATACACACTACTCCGTCTCAGATAAAACTAAGTTCTAGTTATGAATTTGGATATAGACTACGTCCAGATTTATAGCTAAAAGTTGGCTAGAAGTTGAATATTTTTGTTTGAATGGAGTAAGTCCTCGCTAAATATTGATGCTCTATCATGTTAAATTTTCATGATTACAACTTCTCGCATCCTAAGAAGAAAATAATTAAAACGGTTCTGTTTTGATTATAACCTATCCAGACCAGATGTCCTGCTCTGGTCCTTGTGCGGTTGCTAGATACTATAGTATTTCGAGCTGAGATGATTGATCATTAGTACATAATTAATCGTCCTTAATTTCAGTTCTTTTTCTAGGAGTACCGCGACTTTTCTCCTTCATTTATCTGTTTTTTTCTTGTCGAAGACTGCCACTACATATGGAGCCAATGCACCATCATGTCTATAATCGATAGATCACCAGCCGGTCCACCCGTGCAAATTAAAGTGAATTCGTGCCGTACGTGAGGTTATTCAATGAAATCTAGGCAATGAAAAGCAAAATTTGAAAATTAGGCCAACTGATGTAGTGTCATGCTCTCATGCATACAGTTTGCATCATGCCATCCATGTTAGGTGGTCAGTTGTACTCTAGCTTCAGGGTATAATAATGCAGCTTTTTGTTTCTTTTCGTATATTCATTTACTGCTTACAAAAAGTACTCCTACATATATATAACATATTCTCTTCCAAGATGTAATTAAGAGAAACATAATGTATCGCGTCAATGCAACATGGACAGTGCAGAACGGAACAGTAATTAATGTTGCAAGAAAGAGAAGAAATGAAAGTAGATTAAATTAAAACAAAATTGGAATAACGAAGGGGGGCAAAAACAGACGAAGAGCAAAGAATCTAGGTAAGCGCTATAGTGGCTAAATATTAAGCTATATATCTAGCTTGCTATAATATCATTGGTTAGAAGACTAAATAGACATATATACAAGCTTGGTAATGAGCTAATGGATATAAGCGGGCTTGAAGATCAGAAGAAGAAGAAGATAGAGAATTACAACAAGAAGAAGAGAAAAAAATGATAAACGACGACTGATGAAGAATTCAGGACTAGCTAGAATGAGGTGGCATTGCTGCATATGGGTTGGTTGATGGATTGGATTGGATTGGATCAGTCATGCCAGCAGAGGAGCATGACGACGCAGCGGCGGATGATGTAGAGCCTGGCCTTGTGCTCCCTCACCACCTTGCTTATTCCTCCTCCTCCTCCTTCCTTCTCCTGCTTCTTCATCTCTCCTCCTCTTCTTCTTCTTCTTCTCTCTATCTCTCTATATATGTATAATTAATTAGCCTGATGGAGATCAAAGAAGGAAATGGAGCGGAGAGAAAGAGTAGCGATCGAGAGAGGAAGAAGAAGCTATAGCTGGCTTAACTCAAGAGCTTCTTCTTGATTGACTCCATCGTCTCCCAACCAAGCCAGGCCTCCATTTATACACTGGAACAAGTAGGAGTACAACTCAACACCAAGCTCGATTGCTCGCTCGCGTCTAATTTGGACTTGTATAAGCTGCAGAGGAGAGAGAGAGAGAGAGAGAGAGAGAGTAATAAAAGAAGCAACTCAGGCTAATTAAAGAAGAGGGGGGGGGAGCAGGCAGGGGTACGCGCGTGGTTCAGACCCGAACGTGGGGGTGGGCCCACCACCACACGTGCACCTGCGGGCCCCTCCACCATGGCCGCTCGATCACCCCTCTCAGCTTCTACTCGTCGTACGTCTCTGCACGTACGCACGCACGCACGCGCGGCCAAGGCCAGCATCGTCGTCGCATGATTGAATGAACATAATGGGCAGGCATGGGAATGGCATTGTTGGCTGGCCCGCGCGGTGGAGACGACACACGTACATCGGCTACACCTACCCACCGCTAGCTTCAGTCGGTACTCGGACTATATCGATCTCTCATATGCATGCATGCTCCGTCGCTGGCATACCTACTCCCTCCGTCTAAAAAGGA